TTTATTTCAGCAGCCTGTGTTAAAGAAACTAAGGTTCGGGCCGTGTGCAGTGGATCACGCCTGTAGTCCCAGCACTTTGGGGGTCCGAGGCGGGCAGATCACAAGGTCAGGAGATCAAGACTATCCTGGCTAACATGGTGAAAACCCGTCTCTACCAAAAATACAAAAAATTAGCCGGGCGTGGGGGGCAGGCACCTGTAGTCCCAGCTACTTGGGAGGCTGAGATGGGAGAATGGCGTGAACCTAGGAGGCGGAGCTCGCAGTGAGCCGAGATCGCGAGACTCCGTCTAAAAAATAATAAATAAATAAATAAAAGAAACTAAGTTTCATAGCTTAACTGGAGATCACGTCTTCTCAGTTAAGTGCTCTGCCACAAATTTCCTCATTTGTGAAATTTGGAAAATAATACCATCCTCTACTTGTCCACAAATAGCATCTAATCATACGTAAGTATGTGAGAGCACTTTAAAAATGCAAGGTATTAATTATTATTGGTTTTTATTTTAAATGTGGTTATATATGTTGAGATTTAAAAGATTTCCTCCCACGAAGTAAGCCAGAATAAACTCATACCTACTAAATTCTGTCTAAAATCTTTTCTAAGTTGACACTCTTGAGAAAGAATAGAGCTTGGAGGAAGAGCTAGTATTATAACTAGTAGCATAATAATCAGTTTATCATTAAACCACTTAGGTCTCTTTGTAACAAGATTTCTAAGCTTTAGAAGATGGATCCCTTATTCTACTTTATTTTATTTTATTTTATTTTATTTTATTTTATTTTTTGAGACAGTCTTGCTCTGTCACCCAGGCTGGAGTGCAGTAGTGCAATCTCAGCTCACAGCAACCTCTGCCTCCTGGGTTGAAGTGATTCTCATTCCTTAGTCTCCCAAGTAGCTGGGACCACAGGTGTGTGCCACCATGCCCAGCTAATTTTTTGTATTTTTAGTAAAGACAGGATTTCACCATCTTGGCCAGGCTGGTCTCGAACTCCTGGCCTCAAGTGATCTGCCTGCCTCAGCTTCCCAAAGTGCTGAGATTACACGCATGAGTCACCGTGCCCAGCCACTTATTTTATTTCATTTTCTTTTTTAAATTTATTATTATTATTTTTTGCGACTGAGTCTTGCTTGATCACCCAGGCTGAAGTACAGTGGTGTGATCTTGGCTCACTGCAACCTTTGTCTCCTGAGTTCAAGTAATTCTCCTGCCTCAGCCTCCTGAGTAGCTGGGACCCCAGGCATATGCCACCACACCTGGCTAATTTTTGTATGTTTAATAGAGATGGGGTTTCGCCATGTTGGCCAGGCTGGTCTTGAACTCCTGACCTTGTGATCTGCCTGCCTTGGCCTCCCAAAGTCCTGGGATTAAAGGCATGAGCCACCGTGCCCGGTCTTATTTTATTTTATTTTATTTTATTATTATATATATTTTTTGAGACGGAGTCTCGCTCTGTCACCCAGGCTGGAGTGCAGTGGCCGGATCTCAGCTCACTGCAAGCTCCGCCTCCCGGGTTTATGCCATTCTCCTACCTCAGCCTCCTGAGTAGCTGGGACTACAGGCGCCCGCCACCTCGCCCAGCTAGTTTTTTTTTTTTTTTGTATTTTTTAGTAGAGACGGAGTTTCACCGTGTTAGCCAGGATGGTCTCGATTTCCTGACCTTGTGATCCGCCCGTCTCGGCCTCCTAAAGTGCTGGGATTACAGGCTTGAGCCACTGCGCCCGGCCTTATTTTTTAATATAGTTTTATTTTAGACAGGGTCTTGCTCTGTCACCCAGGCCGGAGTGCAGTGATGCAATTACAGCTCATTACGCCCTTCACCTCCCTGGCTCAAGCGATCCTCCCAGGTAGCTCACGCCTGCTGGGATTACAGGCATGAGCCACCGTGCCCAGCCTGAATTTTCATTTTGATTAAAATAAGCAGCTGGGCATGGTGCCTCATGTCTGTAATCCCAGCACTTCGGGAAGCAGAGGTGGGAGGACTGCTTGAGCTCAGAGTTCAAGACCAGCCCAGGCAACATGGCGAAACCCTGCCTCTACTAAAAATACAAAAATTAGCCTGGTGCCCTGGCATGTGCCTGTAGCCCAGTTACTTGGGAGGGTGAGATGGGAGGATCAATTGAGCCCTGGAGGTTGAGGCTATAGTGAGCCAAGATCATGCCACTGCTCTCCAACCTGGGTGACAGAGTGAGACCCTGTCTCAAAAATAAAATAAAATAAAATAAAATAAAAAACTCAAAAGAAGAAAAAAAACCATCTAATTATAGTTCTTTGTAATAAATAGTTGAAGAGATTTACTCATTTGGGCAAAAGGAAATTTTAATAATGTCTCCTCTTTATAATGTCTTTAGTGGAGGAGTAAATGAAGGGATAGATTTGTGAGAATGGGACATTTGCAAGGCTATTACTAGCTCTGTTTTTAGTGAAAATGAGATGCCTGCCCATGACTGAAACAAACAAGATAAAAGGCCTCCTCCCTATTGGAGTTTCCATACATAAATCTTAGATTGATCCTTTACTTCCGGGCTTCTACTTACCTTTCGTGACTCTTCTGAATCCTTCATTCCCTTCTCTAATCTTGTTGGTTTTAATTTTGAGTATTCTCTTCCTTAAAGAGAACATAGGTTTCAGCAGGCTAGGAGTGGGGAGTAGTTTCTGGAATGTGGCTGGATGCTGGGCTAGGGTGTAAAGGTCAACGCCTCTCCAGTGCACAGAACTGGAGGAGAATCAGGAACCCTGAGTATTTGTTCTGCCACTGACCTTGACATCCGGGCTTCAGGTTAAGTCACTTAACATCTGGGCTTCTGGTTCACCCCTAGTGGAGGTTGCAGTAAACAGCTTTTAGTTGTAAAAAAAAAAAATCTGATTTCTAGGCCAGGTGTGGTGGCTCATGCTTGTAATCTCAGCACTTAGGGAGGCTGAGGTGGGTGGATTGAGGTCAGGAGTTCAAAATTAGCTGGTCGTGGTGGTGCAGGCCTGTAATCCCAGCTACTCGGGAGGCTGAGGCAGGAGAACTGCATGAACCCAGGAGATGGAGGGTGCAGTGAGCCAAGATTGCGCCACTGCACTCCAGCCTGGGTGACAAAGCAAGACTCCATCTCAAAAAAAAAAATCCTATTCTAATAGGTGATCCTAACACTAGTAGCTCTAAGCACAGCCAGAGTGGTGGAAAAAGGAAAAGGAGATGGATATAACAGGTTGGGAATAGGGGAGAAAAGGTTATAGGTGAGGCTTGGTGTTCTGAAGGATGGGAGAATATGCCACCCCAAATTATACCACTTTGGGGCAAGGATTATTATTATTTTTTGTTTTGTTTTGAGACGGAGTCTCACTCTGTCAGCCAGGCTGGAGTCCAGTGGCCTGATCTGGGCTCACTGCAACCTCTGCCACCTGGGTTCACATGATTCTCCTACTTCAGCCTCCCGAGAGTAGCTGGGATTACAGGTGCCTGTCACCAGGCTCAGCTATGCCCAGTTAATTTTTTTGTATTTTTAGTAGAGATAGGGTTTCACCAAGTTGCCCAGGCTGGTCTCAAACTCCTGAACTCAGGTGATCCGCCTGCTTTGGCCTCCCGAAGTGCTGTGATTACAGGCGTGAGCCATCCTCCCAGCCCACAAAGATTATTTTTAACTAAAACCATTTAAAAAACAAAAACTAGGCGGGGCATGGTGGCTCATGGCTGTAATCCTAGCACTTTGGGAGGCTGAGGCAGGTGGATCACCTGAGGTCAAGAGTTTGAGACTATCCCCGGCAACATGGTGAAACCCTGTCTCTACTAAAAACACAAAAACTTAGCCAGGCATGGAGGCAGAGGCAGAGGTTGCAGTGAGCCGAGATCATGCCATGGCATTCCAGCACTCTAGCCTGGGCAACCGGGCAAGGCTCCTTCTAAAAAAAAAAAAAAAAAAAAAAATTGATAACTTCCGGACAGGGCGGGACTTTCATCCTTATCCCCCGTCGCTGGGAGGGGAAAGGGGCTGAATGTCAAATGGATCACCAATGGCCAATTGTTTAGTCAATCGTACTTATTTAATGAATCCTCCACAAAAATCCAAAAGGACAGGATTTGGAGGGATAACTTAACACAAAGACATTCCTGGAGCGTGGAGTGTGGGAGGAGAGCATCGAAGAAGACTCCTGCCTCTTCTCATACAACTGATCCTATGCATCTTTTCATCTATACCCTTTTTAAGATCCTTTCTAATAAGCCAGGAAAGGTAAGTATTTCCCTGAGTACTGTGAGCCACTCTAGCAAATTAATGAAACACAAAGGGTGGATGGTTGGAGCCCCAGCTTGAAACCTGTTGGTCAGAAGCTCAGGGTACCTGAACTTATGACTGGTGTCTGAAGGGGAGAGTAGTCTTGGGACTGAGCCTTCAAAGTGCAGGATCTGAGGCTATCTCCAGAGAATACATCACAATGGACTTGAATTAGGGCACACCCAGCTGGTGTCTCCTGCTTGGGGTGTGGGGAAAAAAACCCACACATTTGATCACAGAACTCTTCTGTGTTGATGATGTTGGTATGAGAGCAGAGGAAAAACGGTTTGAGTTTTTCCTCACAGTTTTTCTCTTGTTAATCTATCTTATGTCAGTTTAATGCTCAGGCCCAGAGGAGAACCCCTAAAAGCGGAGAGGTAAAACTTTGCCTCCTTTCCAGTTCCATGCCAAGAAACTGCCCTTCCTGCGGTAGAACTGGACTTGTGGGATGGAGATGAGAGCAGTGATTCTCTACCTCGTTTCATCTCAACCACTCCTTTGCCATCAGATTACACACACATAATGCAGCCGAATTGGATGGGAGCTTGTCCTATCCAGGATCATTGTGAGTGAAGCTTGATTTAAACCCGTCATTTCTTAGTAAACTTTACAGAAAATCTGCAATCAAATAAACCAAGGTGCCCTCTGTATTTTATTGCGCTCCTGTTACTAGTATTTCACAGGATTTTAGAAACGCAAGCAGCGCTGTGGAGTCAATGGGGGAGGGCAAAGAACAGGAGAGATCTGTGAGAACGGGATCGGGGAGGAGGCGACCGGGAGGGGTGAGGGGTCCTCTCCGCCGCCAGGCGGAGCTGGGAGCCGGGCGACCCCGCACGCAGCGCGAGGCGCGACCCCAGACTGACTACATTTCCCAGTCTCCGTCGCTCCGCGCGGCCCGCCCATCAACTCTGGGCCCCGCCTCGTCGCGCCGGCTGGTTCTTCGCGCCCGCCCGACTTCCCAGCGGCCCCGTGCGGCCCGGGCATGCCCAGTGCGGGCGCAGCGGCCCCGGCCCTGGAAGCGCCCCGGCGGAGCGGGCCCGCGGTGGGCGAGGGGCCGGGCCGGAGCCGCGGCGGCGGAGCTGCGGGTAGGTGCGGCATCAGCCAAGCCAGTCCTCGGGACCGCCGTGCCGCCCATCTGAGTGGCAGAGGTCGGGAGGGCAGGCAGGGCCCCAGCGTGGGTTGGTGGGGCTACCCGCGAGGACCCCTTGCGGGAAGGGGCCGGAGGGAGCAGGACGGGACCGGGCACATCCCCGGGCGAGGCTGCTCCAGGTGGGGCGCGGCTATCTTTAGCTCCTTGTGTGACCGGAGGTGTGCGTGGTCCGCACCTCGTGCACAGTTGTGCCTAAGGAGGGAGACCAGTTTTCAGCCGAATTGCCTAGGAGCTGTGGGGAGATGGGCCCGAATGGACCCGTGGACTCAGAGGCAGCCCGTGGAGCCCCGTGGGAAGTGAGGATGCTTACCTTCCCTGTACCTGGAGTGGGCTGCGACAGCTTCCTGCTTGCCGAGACTTGGGTTTAGTGACTTACAAATAAAAGTGCAGGACTGTGCCTCAGCAGATGCTTATTAGCTTTTAATGAGTGTTAGGAATTTAATGTCATTTGTATTTCCAGGTTTGAGAGGTTATTTGTCCATGGGATGCTCGTGTTAAAAAAAAAAAAAAAAAAAATTGCAAAGCTTAAAAACAAGTCGACCGAGGTAACATTAGGACACCGGGTTCTGAGGTTCACTGTAGCTACCATTCATTTGCTGTCAGTCTGGGCAAGTCAATTAACTCCTGAGACTCGGTTCTCTCACCTGTTAAATGAACCAGATTCATCTTCATCTGTCTAGCTCAGCTGTAGGATTCCCCCTGTGTCATTCAGTCTCTGTGTGTGATCTCAAATTGTGGCAAGTTATTTTTCCCCATGCCTCACTTTTTGTCAGACTGGGTAATTCACCAAATAATTCCTGTAGGAAGGATGTTAGGATCTAACTATAAAAGTGAAGTGAATTACCCTTCATAGGCCACTCTTAGTCAGGAGGTGTCCTGCCACTTGGTACATGCAGAAACCAGGTGTTAGCTGGCCAGGGATCAAATGACACAGCTGTTGTGGACTAAGGCAGAATGTTTCAGGTTCCCTGTGGGAAATCCAAGCCAAGTAATGGGCTTCCTTAACCTCCCAGCTGGCTCACTTTAGTGCAGTTGTGTTTATATAGAATTTTAAAGTGTTTTTCATGCTGTTGTGCCCTATTAGATGCAAGAAACCTATGAAGAAGTTTAGTACCCAGATGAGCAAGTGGCAGGTTAAGGGAGTGGATCTGTGAGTCTTTACAAACTAGTGTCGTGCATATCACTGAGCATTTGCTAGTCATCTAGCTCAGCCGCCCTCACCTCAACCCTGAGAACACGTCTGTATGGCTGTACCTCCGCGATTGGAACTCTGAGGTATTTGTTTTCAGGAGGGAATAGTGGGAGTATTAACAGAAGTTTCTTACCCTAGAGACTTCTTTCCGAAGTGAGCCCATCTGTATAGGATTTGACCTAAGGAGCAGAGGGTATATACAGTGTTGGGCAAATTGCCTTCCTACTGCCATATCCCCTGCTCTTCCAGTTCTGAATGGCATTAGTCCAGTTGGGTCAATGAGGAGCAGTTTGGTGAAGTGGTTAAAGGTCGGGGAAAGTGTGTTTATATTTTGAAATTTAAGGTTTGTACAAGCTGCTTGTGAAATTCTGTCTTTGTATTATGGTCATACCTCTTAAACTGAGAATATTGCAACTTGGTTTAGTGAGTGTTGAGAACTTTAGAATATCAAGTTCTTAAAAAATGCATGAAAGTGGGTTTTCTATTCATCTTAGAAGTCACCATAGATTAAATGAGAGAATAGTATATTAAATTTATACACATGAACTCTCAAGTTCTTAATTTTTGAAACTAGATACCCCATTCACCTGAGAAATAAAATGGGAAAGCCTTACTGTTTTAAAGACTGTTTATACATATGAACTTTTTTGAGGCCTAGTTTAAATTCCACTATTTATTGCATGTTTATTAAAATTATATCTGTATATATTTAAAATTAGAAAACATAGAAAAGACCAGCTGGGCATGGTGACTCATGCCTGTAATCCTAGCACTTTGGGAGGCTGAGATGGGTGGATCACCTGAGATCAGGAGTTCGAGATCAGCCTGGCCAACATGGTGAAACCCCATCTCTACTAAAAATACAAAAAAGTAACCAGACGTAGTGGCAGGTGCCTGTAATCTCAGCTACTCGGAAGGCTGAGGCAAGAGAATCTCTTGAACCCGAGAGGTGGAAGTTGCAGTGAACCGAGCCGAGTGTTGCACTCCAGCCTGGGCAACAAGAGCGAGACTGTCTCAAAACCAAACCAAACCAAAACAAAAAGACCATTAAAAAGACCTATTTGGAGGTTTTGGTAGCCAATTTCATGTCATACCTTAAACCTTACTGTGTGCCCGAGGGCTCTGTATGACTGAAGCACGTATGTAGTAATGTTTGTAAGAACTTTTATCTTACTCTTGTATTTTCATTCAAGTATTTGAAGGTATCCAGCAAACATAAAAATTGCTTAAGATACTGAAATGTAATTATCGTCCATCTCCAAACCCTCAAAAGTGCTTAGAATGTGTAGGAGGGATAGTTAGGGGCATTGAGGTTCAGAGGTTACTGGTGAAGAGCACATTGTAAAAATGTAAAATGTAAAAATGAAACGGTGTAAACTGTAAAACCGCTTGTAAAAATGAAAGGGTAGTGAGTGGTTTAGAAAAAAATTAGGGATTTTAGGTTTCAGCTGTACACGAATAGCTTCACTTGATTCACTCTGTAGAGCTACAAGTATGTGAGGTCATCATGTGGAAATGTGCAGGAAGTAACTTATCTTTAAAATAAATATTTTGCCCCCATTATGTTCCATCTGTTTCCAGATCCTTCATGATGAGAGATTTGGGGACACTTCTCTCTCCTCTGTGTAGTTGATAGTTTGGTGGTGAAGAATGGCTGACAGTGTCAAAACCTTTCTCCAGGACCTTGCCAGAGTGAGTACATCTTGTTTATAGGAATTCATCTCTTGGCCTTTTTATTTTGCTGAAGGAACCATCTAGGAAATCCTGTAGGGTTTTTGGAACTTTTATCATATTTCTTGGGCTCTTTACATACAGGTTATTATTCTAGACCACACTACTCAAGAGATAGGTATTGTTCTACATCTTGTAGACACTCTTGCAGGTGCTTGGAAGACCTCCTCAGTGGATGTCTCCAGTATTGAGTTGGAACCCTGGTCACCTTGGCCTCAGAGCTTTTTTTTTTTTTTTTTTTTAAACTTTTTATTTTGGAATGTGTTTAGATTTACAGAAAAGTTACAAGGTAGTACAGAGAGTTCCTGTATATCCTTCATCAGCTTCCCTTAATGTTAACATATAACCGTGGTACATTTGCCGAAACTAAGAAATGAACATTGATACAGTACTATCACCTAAACTAATTAATTCAAATTTAAATTAGAGAACCTTTTTTTTTTTTTCCCAAATTTTTCGTATATTTAAAAAATTTTTAAAGTAGAGATGGGGTTTTGGCATGTTGCCCAGGCTGGTCCCAAACTCCTGGGCTCAAGTGATCTGCCTGCCTTGTCCTCCCAAAGTGCTGGGATTAAAGGCGTGAGCCACTCACCCAGCCGGAACCTTTTTTCTCCCCATTCTACAAACTGTGCAGGTGAGGGGGATACTCTAGGAAAATGCCCTATAAAGATCTGGTTAGGACTCAATCATCCAAATTACCAATAGCACAAAAGTCTGCTACTTTTAATGTATGTCTGAAGCCTAATAATGTCCCAGTTGTAACCCCCTCTTATATATCCACTAGCATGAGAGAGGCCAATTCTTGGAGTGGGGAGGTTCATTCTTTAGTGAGAGAGTTTAAAAGGTTACCTTTATGGCCCGGGGAAGTGGCTGACACCTGTAATCTCAGCACTTTGGGAGACCAAGGAGGGAGGACTGCTTGAATCCAGGAGTATGAGGCAGCAGTGAGCTATGATGGTACCAGTGCACTCTAGCAGGGCAAGAAAGTAAAAAGGTTATTACTTTTGAGTAAAAAAGAGAGGATTGAAAGAGTATCCTACAAGGTCTAAAAAGACTTTATGCATATGATGTACTATTTTTTTTTTTAAGACAGAGTCTCACTGTGTCGCCCAGGCTGGAGTGCAGTGGTACAGTCTCAGCTCACTGCAACCTCCACTTCTTGGGTTCTAGCAATTCTCCTGCCTCAGCCTCCCAGGTGGCTGGGATTACAGGCACACATCACCACATCTGGCTAATTTTTGTATTTTTAGTAGAGATGGGGTTTCACCATGTTGGCCAGGCTGGTCTTGAACTCCTGACCTCAGGTGATCTGCCCGCCTCAGCCTCCCAAAGTGCTAGGATTACAGGTGTGAGCCACCATGCCCAGCAGCATATGATCTACTTTTAACATCTTTACCTTGTTGTCTTGCCATTTATGGGCTATAAAATTTCAACCCTCCCAGCCTAGACAACATAGCAAAACCCCCTCTCTACTAAAAATACAAAAAAAATTTAGCCAGGCATGGTGGCACATGCCTGTAATCCCAGCTACTCAGGAGGCTGAGGCAGGAGAATCGCTTGAACCTAGGAGGTGGAGGTTGCAATGAGCCGAGATCATGCCACTGCACTCCAGCCTGGGCGACAGAGCAAGACTCTGTTTAAAAAAAAAAATCAACCCTGTGTTGGTTCTACAGTGTGCTATTTACATGTTTCTCTGCCCCACTGGACTGTAGATGTCTTAGAGGTGGGGATCCTATCATCCTAGGATGTCCTAGGCCCTCAGCCATTTGAACTTAATTATCTTAGTTGGAGTTTCCTGAGTTAAAAGCAAAATCAGGAGTAAAAATTACTCAGACAAAAAAGATCAAAGGCACACTGTGCCAATTTATGCTCCTGTCAACAGATAATACATCAACTTGCCCATTTCTCTGTATTCCAGCTATTATTTCTAAAATTCGTTTTGTCTGATAACAGTAGGCGAGAATGCTATCCGTTCTTAAATCCAGCTTGGCCATTGCTTCCAGAATAACTTTTTCTGCCTTCTCATGAAGTTGAATGCCCCAGTGCTAACACTCTACTTGGGCCATATATCTGTTGTGGCACTTATTAAACTATGTGTGCTTGCTTCTGCAGCACATGTACTAAAATTGGAACAATACAGAGATTAGCGTGGCTCCTGTGCACAACACACAAATTCATGAAATGTTTCATATTTAAAAACATTTTTTAAAAAAACCTTCAATGTAATTTTTTGGTTTACTTGTGTGCTTCTCCTACTAAGTTATAAGCTTCTTGAACACTTCTATATGACAATATACAGCTTATTGAAGATACTCAGTACATGGGTGGGAAGCGGATGCATGAGTGAATTCTTAGCCTTTGGGAGGCTGAGGCAGGAGGATTGCTTGAGGCCAGGAGTATGAAACCAGCCTGATCAACATGATGAGACCACCATCGCTACAGAAGAAAAATTTAAAAGCCAGGTGTGGTGGCGCACATCTGTATTCATAGCTCCTTGGGAGGCTGAGGCAGGAGGATCGTTTGAACCCAGGAGTTGGAGGCTGCAGTGAGCTATGATTGAGTCACTGCACTGTAGCCTGGGTGACAGAGCAAGACCCTGTCTCAAATAATAATAATGATAATGATAATGATATCCTTTTCTATAGGGAATCAAAGACTCCATCTGGGGTATTTGTACCATCTCAAAGCTAGATGCTCGAATCCAGCAAAAGAGAGAGGAGCAACGTCGAAGAAGGGCAAGTAGTGTCTTGGCACAGAGAAGAGCCCAGAGTATAGAGCGGAAGCAAGAGAGGTAAGGAGTGCATGCCTGATACCAAAATGTCCAAGGGAGGGAAGACGCTACATAGTGACTCAATGTTTCCGTACTACGTCATTTCTTTTGTGCTTTTCCCCAGAAAAATGTTGCAAGTGATTCCCCCCCACCCCAACATTGACTTAAACTAGGGTCTAACAATCATCCTTGCTAAAAATGTCATGGTGTTAAATCAGAATGCTGAATAGAGAACCAAAAAATATTATTTGGTTTGATAGATACTTCTAGGGAAGCTTGTGTGGATTTATGTATTAATAGAAGAACCCCAGCCCCACACTTTCTCTTTTAATCTTTTCCAACATCAGACTTTAAATTATTTTTCTTTTAAAAGCTGGTTTCCCAGAAATATATATATATATATTATATAGGTGTGTGTGTGTATATATATATGTACATATATATCTTTCTTTGGAGACAGAGTCTTGCCCTGTCACCCAAGCTGGAGTGCTGTGGTGCAATCTCAGCTTACTGCAGCCTCTGCCTCCCAGGTCCAAGCAATTCTCCTGCCTCAGTCTCCCAGCTAGCTGGAAATACAGGTGCACACCACCACACCTGGCTAATTTTTTGTATTTTTTAGTGGAGACAGGGTTTCACCATGTTGGCCAGGCTGGTCTCGAACTCCTGACCTCAGCTGATCCGCCTACCTCTGCCTCCCAAAGTGTTAGGATTACAGCCATGAGCCACTGCACTTGACCATTTTTTTATTCTTTTCTCATTGACTGACATTAGAACATTGGGAGAACATGAGGTACTGAAAAATAATACAGTACCCACAAAAGATATAAAACAAACTACTGAATGACAATTAGGAAATAACTTATGCCTTATAAACTAAATACATGTGATCTTTTCCAGTGAGCCACGTATTGTTAGTAGAATTTTCCAGTGTTGTGCTTGGAATGGTGGAGTGTTCTGGGTAAGTTCTTCTTTAAATTCCAGGGGCCTTACAAGCATCTTCAGATTGTTGCTGGGTTGATAGCTATGAACTGTTTTCTTGAAACACTAAGACAAATAGCTTTCATCTGCTGATGTACACTTAGGAATATAACTCAGGAGTCTGTGCATCTGCAGTGATTTTATTCCCACTCGAGAAAGCACACTTGTATGTAAGCAAATGTCACAGTTAGCCCTGAATATACACTTGTATTTTTGTTTCTAAAATGACTCATTCACAAGTGTTATAGGTAGCAGTTTCTCTTGACACTGTCTAGACATTTTAAAATGCTAACAGCAACTATGGGGAATCAGGGGAAGGGCAGATACGGCTAGACAAGAACAAGGTTCTCCCTGCTTCTGCTTATGGCGATCAACAACAACTAATTTGCATTGAAACCTATAGCAGAAAAGATTGCCTACTATTAACTGAGAACCCCAGTGCAGGCTTAACTGAAATTTGGGTACTTTGAAGAATGGATAAATATTTCTTTTGACTTAGAATTTAGAGTAATTCATCACATCTTAATCTAAACAATTCACAGATGTTTTCAGATGTTAGCTTTAAATTTAATTAATATGTATTCCTGTGTACTTAGTACATGCCTGTATTTTGGCCTGAATACTACTTTAAATGTTCCTCTATGCCCCCAAAAGTTTCATTGTTTTATAGGTAGTGTCAAGTTTGTATCTCAATTGGAGTGTTGGGAAACAGAAATAGATCCAGTTTTGATGCTTTTTCAGGCCTCCTGATTTATTTTTTTATTGTTTTGAGATGGAGTCTCACTCTGTTGCTCAGGCTGGAGTGCAGTGTCATAATCTTGGCTCACTGCAACCTCTGCGTCCCAGGTTCAAGCGATTCTCCTGCCTCAGCCTCCCCAGTAGCTGGGATTACAGGTGTGCACCACCACACCCGATCAATTGTTGTAATTTTAGTAGAGACGGGGTTTCACCATGTTGGCCAGGCTGGTCTCGAACTGACCTCAAGTGATCCGCCTGCCTCGGCCTCCCAAAGTGAGCCACCGCACCTGGCCTAGGCCTCCTGATTTATAAAAGGCACTCCCATCTATGAAATCATTACACTAAAACTTGAAGCTCCTGTTTTAAAGACTGGATTTTGATGTTTGCCTTGTTGCTTCTTTTCTTTAGTTCAGTCTCCTCTTGTTTTATCGAGTATTTATTCCTGTGCTTCAGTCAGTAACAGCCCGAATTATCGGTAAGTATATACCCCGCTCCTTTACTGTTGGGGACGGAGTAGGAGATGATGTTTCAGTCTCCCTCAGTTTACTGAACATTTCCTGTGTACCAGGAGCTTTCACTGTTTATTTTCCTTTTTGTTGTTTTATTCTTTTTAAAAATGTACATTTAGTTATTCTCCTAGGGCCTTCAGATGAGAGTGTTCGCTGTTTTTTAACTCAGGTCTTTAAGCAGCCCTTTATGATGGATACTGTTATTCTATCCATTATGAATGAGGAAATGGAAGTTACCTAGGTTAAACCATTAGTAAGTGGCAGAGCTGAGATTGAAACCCAGATGGTACCCTGCAAATAGTGTACTGGTAATCACCGTGGCATCTCGTTACCATCATGTAAGCAGATTTGTGTCAACATAAGCAGCACATATCTATGGTTTCTTTGAACTGGAATTGTGGCTAGAATGTGGTGTGTCTTTTATGAGTTAGACTCATTGAGATAGGTATAGTGATGTGCTGGCAAGAACTAGAAAGATCCAGGAGGAGACAGAGAATAGTCACGAGATGGGGGTTCCGCATTTGGTCTTCTGTGTTTCCATTTCTCCATTTCTGATAACTCGTTTTCTCTTTCTTAGGTGACCCATCACTACATGGAGATGTTTGGTCGTGGCTGGAATTCTTCCTCACGTCAATTTTCAGTGCTCTTTGGGTGCTCCCCTTGTTTGTGCTTAGCAAAGTGGTGAATGCCATTTGGTTTCAGGTAGGTCCAAGGCAGAATGGAGTCTGGGTCCCGCAGCATGATTGGTTGACAGGTGACAAGTTTCAGCCTGTGAAGTTAGTGGGCATGTAGGGGGACCTGTTTTTCAGCCTTAATGTTTCTTAGCCAAGCAGCCAGTAGGTGATCTTTGTGTTCTTATAGAATGGAATTATTGTCTCAGCATCTCATTGGCAGATGTCTGGTGCCTCTTTTTTTTTTTTTTTTTTTTTTTGAGACAGAGTCTCTTGTCGCCCAGGCTGGAGTGCAGTGGTGGGATCTTGGCTTACTGCAACCTCTGCCTCCCGGGTTCAAGCAGTTCTCCTGTTGCAGCCTCCCGAGTAGCTGGGACTACAGGCACGCGCCACCATGCCTGGCTAATTTTTTTTATATTTTTGTTAGTGACAGAGTTTCACCATGTTGGCCAGGCTGGTCTCAAACTCCTGACCTCCCTATCTGCCCACCTTGGCCTCCCAAAGTGCTGGGATTATAGGCGTGAGCCACCGCATAAGGCAGCAATTCTCCTACCTTACCCTCCTGAGTAGCTGGGACTATAGGCACATGCCATCACACCCAGCTTATTTTTAAATAAGCCTTTTCTTAACTGGCATCTCTAGTGGCAGACCAGTGGCCTTAGCTTTGGGGATGTATATCAAGGCCATTTAATTCATGTTTTGGTATACTTTCTCTGTTACAGGATATAGCTGACCTGGCATTTGAGGTATCAGGGAGGAAGCCTCACCCATTCCCTAGTGTCAGCAAAATAATTGCTGACATGCTCTTCAACCTTTTGCTGCAGGCTCTTTTCCTCATTCAGGTGAGACTGACCTTCTGGGCATATGGGCAGCTTTATTAAAAAGAAAAACTGTTTCACTAGTGGGAGCTTCACAAAGACAGAGTATTATATTTATGCAGAGTATTATATATATGCTGGTGGGAGGTAATGATTTTTAAATCTTTTTTTTTTTTTCACAGAAATGAGAATTTTTAAATTACATTATAAAATTATAAGAAACATGAATTTACCTGCCCTTTTCTGCTACTCTGGTTATTCTCCAGTCCTGCCAGGTGGAAACTGTTTTTTTCTTTTTATAGTTATGCCTAACTTTTTTTTAAAGAGACATGGTCGGCTGGGCATGGTGGTTCATGCCTGTAATCCCAGCACTTTAGGAGGCCAAGGCAGGTGGATCACCTAGGGTCAGGTGTTTGAGACCAGCCTGGCCAACATGGTGTAACCCCATCTCTAAAATACAAAAATTAACTGCGTGTAGTGGCACATGCCTGTAATCCCAGCTACTCTGGAGACTGAGGCAGGAGAATCAGTTGAACCCAGGAGGCAGAGATTGTAGTGAGCCAAGATCGTGTCATTGCACTCCAGCCTGGGCAACAGGAGAAAAGCTGTCTAAAAAAAAAAAAAAAAGAAAAAGAAAAGACAGGGTCTTATTTTATCACCTAGGCTGGAGTACAGTGACACAATCATACCTCACTGCAGCCTCAAACTCTGGGCTCAAGCAATCCTCCTGCCTTAGCCTCCTGAGTAGCTGGGACTACAGGCACATGCCATCATGCCCAGCTTATTTTAAAAATTTTGTTGTAGAGTCAGGGTCTCAGTATGTTGCCCAGTCTGGTCTTGAACTCCTGGCCTCAAGAGATCCTCCCGCCTCATCCTCCCAAACTGTTGGGATTACAGGAATGAGTCACTGTGCCCACCCTGCACCCGGCCTTTTACAAACTTGAGAGGCAGCTAGGAAGCTGTCTTAGACAGTGATGATTGGAGAGTGGCAGGTGAATGGTGCTAGGTTTCTGAGGCTTGGGATTAAGATTTTCCATATTTGTTCTTCAGGGAATGTTTGTGAGTCTCTTTCCCATCCATCTTGTCGGTCAGCTGGTTAGTCTCCTGCATATGTCCCTTCTCTACTCACTGTACTGCTTTGAATATCGTTGGTTCAATAAAGGTAAGTTCATCTAAAGAAGTCCAGAAAATGGAGGCCTAGTTTGAAAATGCTACTGCTAAGCAGACTTCTTAAACTACTCAATAGTCAGACTCTTAGCAAACCTTCCTTTGAGGGAAGCAGCCTCATTGGCAAGAGGGAGCTTACCTTCGGCTTCGTGGGTTTAACTCTCAACTTTGAGGCTGGGGGATGTGGTAGTATAGCATTATCTTTTTGATGCTTAACGTGGTATATCTCTGACTGGGTTGTAAGATGGCATAAATGAGCACGAGTTGCTCTAAATTAGAGAAATCAAAGTGATGTCAGCTTCTGGATCCTTTTGGGGTTGTTTTAGAAAGACCTTCAAGTATTTACCAGGGTGTGCGTGGTTGAAAGAGGTTAACTGATACTTACAGAATGGCATCCTTTTGATTTGCTATCTTGTTTAGTTCCAGACTAATCCTGACAAAGGATGCTGGTGCTGAAATTCTTAATTCACTTAGCCTGTCAGCTTTGAAGTTATGATTATGGAATTCTAAAAAACTTTGCATGCTTTATATCGGATTTGTACACTTCTAATTTATATGCTGTAGCTCTGTTCTAAATCTGTACCTAGGCTGGGTGTGGTGGCTCACACCTGTAATCCCAACACTTTGGGAGGCCGAGGCAGGTGGATTGCCTGAGGTCAGGAGTTCAAGACCAGCCTGGCCAATATGGCGAAACCCTGTCTCTACTAAAAATACAAAAATTAGCCAGGCGAGGTGGCGGGCACCTGTAGTCCCAGCTACTCGGGAGGCTGAAGTGGGAGAATCGTTTGAAATCTGGAGGTGGAGGTTGCAGTGAGCTGAGATTGCACCACTGCACTCCCACCTGGGCATCAAAGCAAGACTCCATCTCAAATAATAATAATAATAAATCTGTACCTAAAGCTCATGGTTTGTCTACCATAGTTATTTAGTCACTTGACTAAAAGGAAATAGAATATCTAATTGTATTGGCTTTCTTGTTTTAGGAATTGAAATGCACCAGCGGTTGTCTAACATAGAAAGGAATTGGCCTTACTACTTTGGGTTTGGTTTGCCCTTGGCTTTTCTCACAGCAATGCAGTCCTCATATATTATCAGGTAATTTGGCTAGAGGGATTTGAAGGAGACTAGTAAAAATAAAAATTCATGAAGTCAGTACCTTTTGCTTGCTTGGTTCTGTTTTGCATTCCACACTGTCATTTGTCCGTCAGGAAACCTGCAGGGTGTTTCTACATTTGTTAGCATGAATATCTAGTCTGAATGTCCCTATATCCCATTATCCCATATTATTTTTCTATGTTGCCTCCTGGAGCAATTTTTCTTTTTTCTTTTTTTTGAGACAAAGTCTCACTCTGTCACCCAGGCTGGAGTGCAGTGGCGCAATCTCAGCTCACTGCAACCTCCGCCTCCCGGATTCAACTGGTTCTCCTGCCTTAGCCTCCCAAGTAGCTGGGATTACAGGCACCCACCATCACGCCTGGCTAATTTTTGTGTTTTTAGTAGCGATGGGGTTTCACTATTTCGGCCAGGCTGGTCTCGAACTCCTGACCTCAAGTGATCCACCCACTTTGACCTCCCAAAGTGTTCAGATTATAGGCATGAGTTACCACGCCCGGCCCTGCAGCAATATTAAACATGCCCAGTGCTTAGAAAAATCTTCTTGTTCTTTTTGAAAGATGTGTTTGATGGGCTGGGCGCCACGGCTCACGCCTGTAATTCCAGCACTTTGGGAAGCGGAGGTGGGCAGATCACCTGAGGTCAGGAGTTCGAGACCAGCCTGGCCAACATGGTGAAACCCTGTCTCTGCTGAAAATACAAAAGTTAGCCGGGCATGGTGGCGCACACTTGTAATCCCAGCTACTTGGGAGACTGAGGCAGGAGAATCGCTTGAACACAGGAGGCGGAGGTTGCGGTGAGTTCAGATCTTGCCACTGCACTCCAGCCTGGGTGACAAGAATGAGACTCCGTCTCAAAAAAAGAAAAAAAAAGTTTGAAATATTGAGGTTTCATCAAGCCATAATATTTACACTGGAAGCAAAAGAACTTGGAGCTTCTGTCTTTTTCAAAGTCATGGCTGTTATGAAGGTGACTAATTATTTTTTTTTTTTTTTTTTTTTTTAACAGTGGCTGCCTTTTCTCTATCCTCTTTCCTTTATTCATTATCAGCGCCAATGAAGCAAAGACCCCTGGCAAAGCGTAGTAAGTATTAGCCAGTGATGAAGTTTTTGCAGTGTAAAGGATTGGGGCTGTAACACCACAGTCAGTGAGGCTTTCAAAAAAAAATTCTCACATTGTAGGAAAATCTTAATGTAAGGTTTAATGAGACAGAAACACTTCTGGTATATAACCCACACTTTTCTCCATGCATATATGCACATAAGTGTGTGTGTGTGTGTGTGTATATATATATACTTCCAAAATTGACCTCATTATACATATTCAAGTAGAGGGCCGTATGACCTGGCCACATGAGTTTATTGATAACACTAGTAAAATATACCTTAAAATAAGTTTTTAGCAATAATAACAATAGCATTCTAAAAGTTTTATCACTTCAAAGAAAAGCTCAATCAATCTTTGATCAATTTTGGTTAAGTCAGTGTGGATACTTGTGTTAGAGACTTAGTCTGCTTTGGGTTTTTGTATGCTCTTGCTATACAGCAGAGCTCACTGTTTATCTTAAGAGGAATATTTGACTTTGTTTTGAAACTCTTCTTCCTGCAACCACAGATAGCATATGACACCTTCAGACATAGCTTGAAGCCTGTACCCCGAAGTGAGCCATAGAAAAGTACTTCTCAAATCAGAATTAATCTAAAGTATAACTATTTCCTGTAAGAGCCATAATACTTCATCGCTGGTGACTGCATTACATTCATGGCAGCAGCAGGGCCCAGTGCATTATTTTTTTTGAGACGGAGTCTCGCTCTGTCGCCCAAGCTGGAGTGCAGTGGCGCGATCTTGGCTCACTGCAACCTCCACCTACCAGGTTCAAGCGATTCTCCTGCCTCAGCCTCCTGGGTAACTGGGATTGCAGGTGCATGCTACCATGCCCTGCTAATTTTTTTCTCAAGTGATCCACCTGCTTCAGCCTCCCAAAGTGCTGGGATTACAGGTATGAGACACCACGCCCGGCTCCAATGCATTCTTTAGTTGCTTGTTCCATCCGTGTATCTAGTATCTGTATTTCCTTGATCAAGTTTCATTTGTCTTGTCTTTCCCTTTGTAGTTTTAAATTTAATGTCAAGTTGTCAAATAACAGAAATAATTCTGAGTAACTGGGGAGCTAACAGGTTGGGTTTCTTGCCTTTTAGTCTCTTCCAGTTGCGCCTCTTCTCCTTGGTGGTCTTCTTAAGCAACAGACTCTTCCACAAGACAGTCTATCTGCAGTCGGCCCTGAGCAGCTCCACTTCTGCAGAGAAGTTCCCTTCACCGCATCCATCACCTGCCAAACTGAAGGCTGCTGCAGGCCACTGAGTTGCCTGCCATCCAAAGGGGATGGGCGGGATTGGAAGAAAGCTGTGGCAGCTCTTTTCCCTGTTCACCTCCCCCTGCCAGGGAAGGCAGGACCCACTCTGCCAAGGGCCCTCTGCATATTCCCTTCTCTCTGAGGAATTGAAATTTTTGTCTCTGGTGCACGTAAGGGAGAATGTTCCCTGACACCAGTGTGTGGATTTTTAACATCACCGTGAGTCTGAAAGGACCACAAGTTTTTCTGCAGCTATTTTCTAGCATTTGCCAGTCCCTGTGCCTGGACTGATTTGAATACTTTGTTTTTCTCCCTGTGCCATTTATCCTTCCACCTTTCCATCCTGCCTTCTACCACCCTTGGATGAATGGATTTTGTAATTCTAGCTGTTGTATTTTGTGGATTTGTTATTTTTGTTGTTTTTCTGTGAAGCACATACATTGGATATGGGAGGTAAAGGAGTGTCCTAGTTGCTCCTGGTCACTCCCTTTATAGCCATTACTGTCTTGTTTCTTGTAACTCAGGTTAGGTTTTGGTCTCTCTTACTCCACTGCAAAAAAAAAAAAAAAAAAAAAAAAAACCCTGAAGAGATGAGATAGGAGGAAAGGCCTCACAGCCAGTTCTGCTGGGTTTTGAGGAGTGATTTTCTTTCTTCCCCTTGAAGGGGAAAAAGCTATTTTCACTGGTACATTTAAAGTCCCCCAACTATGGGGAGGTACCAATTCTGGACAAGTGCCACTGCAACAACACTAAACCTGAACTTTTCAACTCCGTTGGGGGTGGGAGGCGGTGGGCAGAAATTTACTATTGGCCACTGCCAGGTCTGTTTCATATTTCAAAGGAATATTGGGTGCTGCAAATAGGAACTGAAGGGGTAAATGTATTAAACCTGTGATTGGTTGTTTTCCTGTCATTTTAAGAGACTAAATGTGGGGGGCAGATGTCAAAATACTTGTACAATTTTAAAATGTCACAATTAAACGTGAGCTGGTTTCCCACAAAGTGTGTAATGGTTGAATTTGCAAATCATGATCTTGAGAAATGTATTCATGGAATATAAGACTTTGTCTTGGATAATTTAGTAGTTTTGAGGAATTAGCCGTGAAAAATGTTCCCTGAGAAAGGCTGGATTATATGATTATAATCACATTTATATTTGGTGGAAGACTCAGATTGTTATTTGTTCTAAAGTCTATATGTACATCGCTACTGTATATTTATGCAGTGAGAAAGACCCTCCTAGATATTGGTGTATTGAATATTAATCGAGGGAAGCCAGTAAACATCTGGTTAACAGAGACCTTTACTATGTGCAAGACAAAATATGGAATTAAAAATTGTTGCTGGGGCCAGGCGTGGTAACTGATGGCTGGGATTCTAGCACTTTGGCAGGGGCCAAGGCAGGAGGATCACTTGAGTCCAGGAGTTCGAGATCAGTCTGGGCAACACAGTAAAACCCCGTCTCTATTACATATATAAGAGGTTAGGCCAGGTATGGTGGCTCACGCCTGTAATCCTAGTACTTTGGGAGGCTGAGGTGGGTGGATCATGAGGTTAGGAGTTCAAGACCAGCCTGGCCAACATGGTGAAACCCCATCTCTCCTCCAAATACAAAAATTAGCCGGGCATGGTGGCACATGCCTCTAGTCCCAGCTACTCAGGAGGCTGAGGCAGGAGAATCACTTGAACCTGGGAGGTGGAGGTTGCAGTAAGCCAAGATCACACCACTGCACGCCAGCCAGGGTGACAGTGAGACTCTGTCTTGGGGGGTGAAAAAAGGGTCAGGGAAGTTGAGTGGATGAAGGTGTATGATTTTTATCCCCAGGACTGTGCCTGGCTATCGAAAATGTGTAAAAGTTTAAATGACTGGAAGTGAGGAACCTCCAGAGTTTTTTAGCATAGTTGAGCAGTCCAGCCTTTTGTACAAAGGCTAGATTAGGCATATCTGCAATAAGAGAAATGTGACAATCTCAAATGAGTTATAAACACAAAGCAATGTAAATTTTTCTTGCCTTTCACGAGGGTATTGTCACTGAGAGCAGTGACTAGGAAATGGGTCAAAAAGAGACTAGACTCTATTTTTGCCAAGTTCAGAATACCTGTTTGAAGCAGACTAATAATTAGTAACCAAAAACAAGGGAGCTCACAAAACTAAAAATGAATATTTGGTTGAGTTTGAATCACAAAACCAGTAGGATCTGAGGAATTGTTCCCAGAAGCACTTTTTAAGGGACAGACTTCACAGCTTGGACAGGTATATGTAATAGAAAACACAACCCTTTTTATTCTATCTATAGAGCTGAGTTGTCTGTTATAGCAACTCTCAAAATTAGAAAGTAGATGCTTTAGATCTGAGTACATTAAGTCTGCTAGAAACTTAAACGACACATTCATGTACAGATGTGTTAACTGCTCTGCACTTAATAAAAGGATAGCATCTATGAGAGAAAAAGCAACTACAGTTGTCTATTCACTGTCTCATTTTCCACCCACAAATATTACTTTATTTTCTGATTATAGCAGTAGTACGTTCATTATGCTCCTTTATGTGTGTTTACCTCCATTGAGATTGCTTTGGTGAAGGTTATCTGTTCATCAGTAGTGGGGTGGATAGATAGTTTAGCAGTCATCCCACCTTTTATTAACATATTCTGGGCTGGGTGCGGTGGCTCATGCCTGTAATTTCAGCACTTTAGGAGACCGAGGCGGGCGGATCACGGGGTCAGGAGATGGAGGCCATCCTGGCTAACATGGTGAAACCCCGTCTCTTCTTAAAATACAAAAAATTAGCCGGGCGAGGTGGCACGCGCCTGTGGTCCCAGCCACTCAGGAGTCTGAGGCAGGAGGATTGCTTGAACCTGCCAGGCAGAGGTTGCAGTGAGCCGAGATTGCGCCACTGCACTCCAGCCTGGGCAACAGAGTGAGACTCCATCTCAAAATAAAAAAAAAAACGATATTCTGCCTAAGTTGTATAACCTATAGGAGTTAAAAGGAGGCTGACTTCAGGTCAGTGTAATTTACACATTTGTAACAATGAGAGCCATACACCAGCACAAATTTTGGATGGACCTAAAATGAGTTTGCAAAACCACTGAAGGATCAAGTGAGGGAATTATGACTTAATCATGTAACAAGTATTTGAGCACCTTCTGTGTCAGGTACTGAGCAAGGGACTGGGGACTCAAGGGTGAACCAGAAAGATATGATTACTGCCTTCTAGGACCTGACAGTCCAGTAAGAGAAACTGACAAGCAAATGAATATGCAAAAATTTCAAGAATTACATGATTAGCTATTTTTCCATAGGTCTCAAAGCTGGATAAAACACTGGAATTCAGGGAATCTTTGAGTAAGATGAGCAATTAGGCCATGTGTTCAGCCTCTCCTTGTACTCATTCTGATTTCAAATTTAAATGTTCTGTCGTGCTTTGAGACCTAGAGAAAAAAAAACAATGACCATTCAATCATTTAGGTAAGTTCCTCTAATCATTCCTCTTCACGAGGAATCAACATTGCAATCAGCTCAGCAGCTTTTCCAAAACACAAATAACAACACCTGGCTCTGGAGGAAATTTAAGTAATTGTGGAAACAAAAGGTAATTTAAGAAATTCTAATAACTATTTTCACAGAGATTTCAGAAGCTACTGCATTCATAAAGTAAGAACAGATTATTGTGAAAACAACAGAATAGGAAAGCTCTTGAAAATTAAAAGTTATGGAAATTTTTAAAAATGAGATGGCTTATAAAAGTGACACTGGCCAGGCCCGGTGGCTCAAGCCTGTAGTCCCAGCACTTTGGGAGGCTGAGGTGGGCGGATCACGAAGTCAGGAGATAGAGACCATCCCAGCTAACACGGTAAAACCCCGTCTCTACTAAAAATACAAAAAATCAGCTGGGCGTGGTGGCATGCGCCTGTAGTCCCAGCTACTCAAGGTCTGAGGCAGGAGGATCCTTTGAGCCCAGGAGGTTGAGGCTGCAGTGGGCTGAAATTGTGCCACTGCACTCCAGCCTGGGTGACAGAATGAGACCTTGTCTCAAGGGAAAAAAAAAAAAAAAAAAAAGTGACACTGAGGAGGCTAAATTAGTGAACTGCAAGATAATATTGAGGAAATCTTCCAGAACATACAGCAAAAAGATCAAGAAAAAGTTAAGAACAGGAGAGCCTTCCAAGAACCAGGAGATAAAACATTTGTCCAACAGCAACTTCAGAAAATGAGAATAGAAAAATGGAGATGAATAAAATCAAAGAACATTTCCTGAACTGATTGTACAAATTTTAGCTTTCAGACTGAAAGGGCCTGCCAAATGTAAAGCAGAAAAAAATGCAAGAAGACGAAACACATAGATGAAATCTCTAAGGAAAGACAATTTATCAGAGAGGGAAATAGATTACCCATAAAGGAATGTGACTCAGACTGGCATCAGGTTTCTTAAGGCACAGTGGATCACAGACAATATAGTCACAATGCCTTGAAAGTGTGCTTTTCTGTGTCTGTGTGCAATTGGGGGGGGTGGGTCCCAATTTTGTTCCTAAAATTCTAAACCTAGCCATGCTATTAAGGACAAAATACAGATATTTTCTAACACGAAACGGCAATGTTTGCTTCCATTCAGCTTTTCTAAAACACTTACTTAAAAAAAAACTCATCAAAAGTGAAAAATAAATCTAAGAAATAGAAAGATGTCTTATCAGATGATAATCTATGGAAAAAAAAAAAAAGAACGATGTCTTATTAACACAAAACACCCAACCAAATAACATAAAACAGTGGAATCCAGAAGTGCACTCAGGGGAAATCCCAGTAATACAACTTTGCACACACTTAGAAACATGGGTTCTGGAGAGAACAGCTTCAAGAACACAGATACTATTACTCTGGTGTGCTACAAATGAGACCAAGGCATCAGTTTTGTTTATCAAATATACAAGAAAGATAAACCGATACTTTAAGAAAGACCAAAAGCTCTACAAAAAAGTTCTAACTTCTACATCAAAACATTCCTTTTAAGCAACTGATGAAATAGTAAAAGCACTGCTTTCTGAAACAACCAGTTCAAAACTTTTGGGCTCATAAATCAGGAGGGAGGAGGATTAACTGATACACTATAGTTCATGTATAAACTGTAGGTTTATTTTATTTATTTATTTATTTAGAGACAAAGTTTCACTCTTGTTGCCCAGGCCGGAGTGCAATGGTGCGATCTTGGCTCACCCCAACCTCTGCCTCACAGGTTCAAGAGATTCTCCTGCCTCAGCCTCCCTAGTAGCTAGGATCACAGGCTTGCGCCACCACACCTGGCTTTTTGCATTTTGAGTAGACAGGGTTTCTCCATGGTGGTCAGGCTGGTCCTGAACTCCCGACCTCAGGTGATCTGCCAGCCTCGGCCCCCCAAAATGCTGGGATTGTAGGTATGAGCAACCACCCCTGGTCTATTTATTATTTTATTTTAGAGACAGGGTCTTTCTTACTCTGTTGACCAGGCTGGAGTGAAGTGGTGTGATCATAGCTCATTGCTGCCTAACTTCTGGGCTCAAGCGATCCTCCTGCCTCAACCTCCTCAGAAGTTAGGATTACAGGCCAGCACGACCATGCCCAGCTAATTTTTAAAAATTATTTTTTGTAGACACTGCATCTCACCACGTTGCCCAGGCTGGTCTCCAATCCCCGGCCTCAAGCCATCTTCTCACCTCAACCTCCCAAAGTGCTCGGATTACAATCTTGAGCCACCACGCCTGGACCTCAAGGTTTGTTTATAATAATTATAAAGATTTTCCTATTAGTTTGTTTTCCTTTGATTTTATTCACAAGTAAGCCTTTCCTCATGGACTGGTATCAAAGACTCATCCTAAAAATAGGCTTAGATTTTCAAACTTTGTTCTTTAACAGTACATTGTGACTTTCGAAAAGGTTGACTTAATTTCATCACTTGGAAGCTTAAATGTATTCTCTTTAAGAAACATGTTTAATACTTTCTCTTTTTTTTGGTGATGGAGTC